CTCAGGCAATCCACTCACCTCAGCCTCCCAAAGGCGCGGGATTACAGGCTGAGCCCGGCAACAACTTCTTCTTATCTAACTATAACTTTGTACCCTCTGATCAACCTCTCACCATCCTTCCCTTCCCCTTTCCCTAGCCAGCCCCTGGTAACTGTTAGGATGCGAAGGGGCACAGTGCCACCAGAGCGGCATGCCAGAGTTATGTGCTGGTAATGAGAGATCTGAGTAATGCAAAGATTTGCAACACTCAAAGAGATGAAGGAAAAAGATTTATTTAAGACAAAGGCCACTTCCTGGCTGGGCATGGTGGCTCAGCCTATAATCCCAGCACTTTGAGAGACCGAAACAAGAGGATTGCCTGAGCCCAGAGGTTCAAGACCAGCCTGGACGACTTAGTGAGACCTCAACTCTACAATAAATCACAAACACTAGCCGGGTGTGGTGGCATGCATCGGTAGTTCCAGCTACTTGGAAGGCTGAGGCAGAAGGATCGCCCGAGCCCAGTGGGTCGAGGCTGCCACTGCTCTTCACCCTGGGTGACAAGAGCGAGACTCCAACTCAAAAAAAAAAAAAAAAAAGAAAGAAAAAGTTCACTTCCCATAGACAGGAAGAGGGCCAGTACTCTAAGGTGAGTGTGGTGATTTTGGTTCCCCTCCCTCCCCCTGCAGCCAGGACTTAAATCCTTTCCCTTGGAGATGTTGCAGTCAGGTAGACGTGACTGCTGTGACTTCTTTGTTGACCACTTGCAGATGTCTTGGAGACCCTGAGCAGGTGGGTCTGGTCACCAAGTCAAGCAAGCTTACTACCCTCAGGAGGTTATTCTGAGATTACAATGGGCTGATACTGGTCATGCTTGAGAGATCTGGGTTTCTAGAAAGACAAAGTCAGGGAAGTTAATCTTCACCTAAAGTGCATTCCTCCAGGGCAGTTTCTACTTTCCCACCATTGTGTTAAGATCTAGGAACAAAACAGGCCCTTTTTGGGCCTGTCCTTTCAGTAACCACCATTCCTGTCTTTATGTCTGTGAGAGTAACTTCTTAAGTGTCTACATATGAGTGACATCATGTAGTATTTGTCTTGCTATGCTGGTCTGTTTCATGTAACATGTGTCTTCCAGGTTCATTCATATTGCCAAAAATGACAGGATTTTTTTCTTTTTTTTTTATAACCTACTAGTATGTCATTGGGTATCTACCACATTTTCTTTATACATTCATCCACTGAGGGATATTTAGGCTGATTCCATCTCTTGGCTATTGTGAATGGTTCTACAGGAAACACAGGAGTGCAGATGTCTCTTCAACATACTGATTTCCGTATATAGAATTACTGGATCTTAGGGTAGTTTTTTTTTTTTTTTTAATTTTGAGGAACTGTCATACTGTTTTTCATAATGACTGTACTAATTTACATTCCCACCAACACTGTATAATGTTCCCTTTTCTCCATATCTTTGCCAGCACTTATTATTTTTGTCTTCTTTTTAAATAGCCTTGCTAACTGGAGTGAGTGACATACCATTGTGAAAAATGGTTTGCATTTTCCTGATGATTAATAATGTTGACTATATTGTCAGATACCTAAGGCCCATTTGTATGTCTTCTTTTAAGATATGTCTGTTCAGGTATTTTGGCCGTTTTTTGTTCAAATTATTTATTTTGGCTGTGTGTTGCTATTGAGTTGTTTGCATTCCTTGTGTTTTCTGGATATTAACCCTTGTTTGCAAATATTTTTTCCCATTTTGTATGTTGTCTATTTGCTCTACAGATTGTTTCCTTTGCTGTGTAGAAGCTTTTTGGTTTAATGTAGTCCTATTTGTCTGTTTTTGCTTTTGTTGTGTGTGCTTTTAAGGTCTTATCCAAGAAAATTCTTGCCCAGACCCATATCATTGATTTCCACTGTGTTTTCTTCTACTAGTTTTATAGTTTGGGATCTTATATTTAAGAGACTATTTTGAAGCCAGGCGCAGTGGCTCACACCTGTAATCCTAGCACTTTGGCAGGCTGAGACGAAATGATTGCCTGAACCCAGGGGTTAGAGACCAACCTGGGCAACTTGGCAAGACCTTGTCTTTACAGTAAATTATAAAATTAGCCGGGCATGGTGGCACACACCTGTAGTTCCAGCTACTTAGAAGGCTAAGACAGAAGAATCTCCTGTGCCCAGCAGGTCGAGGCTGCAGTGGCCGTGAGTATGCTACTGTACTCCAGCCTGGGTGACAGAGTGAGACTCTGACTCAAAAAAAAAAGACCATTTTGAGTTGATGTTTGTATATGGTCAGAAATAGGCATCTATTTTCATTCTTCTGTATGTGGATATCCAGTTTTTCCTGCACCATTTAATGATGAAACTTTCCTTTCCCCAATGTGCATGCTTGGCACATTTGTTGAAAAATAGTTGTCTGCTGCTAGGTGTAGTGGCTCACACCTGTAATCCCAGCACTTTGGGAGGCCGAGGCAAGAAGATCACTTGAACCCAGGAGTTCAAGACCAGCCTGGGCAACATAGCAAGACCTCATCTCTACAAAAAAAAAATTAGCCAGCGTGGTAGTGTGCATCAGTAGAGCCAGCTACATGGGAGACCAAAGCAGAATGCTTGTCTATGCCCCAAAGATTGAGGCTGTATTCAGCCGTGATCATGCTACTGCACTCCAAACTGAGTGACAGATTGAGAACCTGACTCAAAAAAACAGAAAGAAAAGAAAAACGGTTGGCTGTAGATGAGTGGATTTATTTCTGGGTTCTCTGTCCTGTTCCATTGGTCTATATGAAGGACGATGGCGCCAGTGAGACTCAGTACCCTTTGAGGCCAAGAGATTTATTAGAGCAGCGGCTACAGAGTGGGAAGGAGGTCTGTAACCGCCTGG